ATAGCCATTACCGATTCCACGTCGACCATGGTCTTCAATTTCCATGGACTTCATCATGGACCTGCCATCATCGAACTCATTTGATAGCATCTTTGTCGTAGTAGATCGGCTTACAAAAATGGCGCACTTTGTCCCTTGCAAGAAGACATCATCCAATGAAGTCATAGCAAGGCTCTTTCTCGATAATGTGTATCGATATCATGGACTACCAGATGATATCGTATCAGATCGAGGAATCCAATTCGTATCAAAGTTTTTGAGATCTCTCTTTGAGATACTGAAGGTGGATATCAAGCTTTCTGCAACTTTTCATCTTCAAACTGACAGTCAAACGGAATGGATGAACCAAGTCTTGGAACAATACTTACGATGCAGCATCAACTATCAGCAAGACGATTGGACCACATATCTGCCACTAGCCGAGTTTGCATATAACAACACCCTCCATGCGTCGACTCAATACACACCATTCTTTTCCAACTATGGGTATCATCCAAAGCTTGATTTATTGAGTCCATCAACAAATAACAATCCAGCAGCTGAAGGATTTGCGAAACAACTATCAGAGCTTCAAAATACGTTGAAGCTTCAATTACAATCCGCTCAAGAGTCCTACAAGGCGTCTGCACATAGATTTCGGAATCAAGCACCTACTTTCAAAATTGGAGATAAAACATGGCTTCTTCGATGGAATATCAAGACCAAGCGACCATGTGATAAGTTGAACTATCGAAGATTGGGACCATTTATCATCCAAAAGCAAATCAATCCAATGGCGTATCATCTGGAATTACCGGCTTCTATGAAGGCACATCCAGTCTTTCATGTTTCTTTGTTGGAGCCTTATCGAGAGTCATCTTTTCCTGGAAGAGTGCAATGTCAGCCACCTAGTATTGAGATCGAGAACCACGAGGAATACAAGGTTGAAAAGGTGCTGGATTCTCGGCGAAGGTGGGGCAAGTTGGAGTATCTTGTTCATTGGTGCGGCTACGACATTAATGAGTGAACATGGGAGCCAGCTGAAAATCTCACCAATGCGCCACAAAAGATACATGAGTTTCATCAATAACATCCTCATAAACCTAAGCCGGTTCGACAATAGCTTCTTTCTGAAGCTTGCTCACCCAAGAATATAAGAAAGGGGGAGAGCACCACCAAAATTCGTAGTTGATGTAGTTATTTTCTCCAAAATAAAATAGAATTTTTTCAATAGCCATAGTTTGGTCTTTTGATATGGATAGCCAAGAGATAGATACTATGCCAGTCAGATTATCTCAACCAACTAGTTCACGAAGGCGACCCCGAGATGAAGAACCACTTGCACTACGACGACGATGGAGGATACCAAGTAACCGATCACTGGTGATTGTATTTGAGTCCGAGCCTGCTTACGATGGTCAACCAGAAGGCATATTTGCAAGACAATTTCACAATGAAGACACGGAAGTTCATGCTTGGTCAGAAGTTGAAGGAGTGGGCCACTACCATTGGCTTCAAGGGCCGATGAACCACTTACCTCGTGAACAACAGTTGGAGTTCATAGCAGACGTTATGCGACAGATCTTCATTTTTTTGCGTTGGTACTGATTGACAACAACATTGCTTCTCAGAGACCTCGAAGCTAAAGGAGGGGGTGATGTTAGGGACATAGTCCTTAGAACCTTCTAGAGACAAGTTTCTAGAACCTTTTAGAGACAAGCTTCTAGAATCTTCTAGAAGCAAGTCTCTGGAACCTTCTAGAAGCTTCTTAGTTGGTAGAAGATGTTAGGAACATAGTCCTTAGAACCTTCTAGAGATAAGTTTCTAGAACCTTCTAGAAGCAAGTCTCTGGAACCTTCTAGAAGCTTCCTAGTTGGTAGAAGTTGCTTCAGAAGCTTCCTAAATAGGAGTATATATTAGAATCGAGGTTGAAGAGTTCTTCAGTCTCGACAACACATCTCTTGGAGCTCTAGGTCACCTCTCTGGTGTTGTTCTTGTATTCATCTGATTAATCTAGTTCTTGCCAGTTCTTCTTGAACTTCTTGGTAGATATCAAGTCTGTATTCTGTGTCCGTGACAGAAAGTCGTAATGTGCTTCAAGAACACATAAATGTACTTCTCTTTCTAGAACATAAAGGCATCATTTGAAGTAGAATATGTTGTTCTTGAACTCAAACTTTGAAATATTATAAGACTTAGAAGAGAGATTCTTGATATTATGAACAAAAGGATTAGATGACATATTTGATAGGATTTGTTTGACAAAGGTCGAATCAACAGTCAATGTTGATTTCATTGCTCTAAGATTTAAATACTTTCGCTTCAAAAAAATTATTTTTAATTGATCGAAAGATATGTTTCTTTCTTTTGGTGTAAGTTAAGAACATCTAAAAAGAGCATCTGATAAAACTTGTTATTTTTTAGGTTGATATGTGATCTTGAAATCAACTCTTAATAATGACATGCGTCAATAGGCTTGGCGACAATTCAAATTACATGTCAACACGAAATACTTAAAGTTCTTGTGATTTATATATATTGTAATTGGACTTGAAGCACCTTCTACATAATGATGCCATTCTTGAAATGAATCTACAATTGTAATAAGTTCTTTATTATGGATCTCATAGTTAATCTGGATTGCTGAAAATTTCTTGGAATAGAAAGCTACTAGATGAAATTTGTCATCTATTCCCATTTGTGACAATATTGCATTCAACGCAAAGTCTGATGCATCTATTTCCATAAAAAATACCTTAGAAAAGTCAACGCAATATAAAGTTGGTGCAAAAGTAAATTCTTTCATCAAAACAATAAAGAATGCTTCGGCTTCTTCATTCCACTCAAGTTTGTTTTTACAAATCAAACATATAAGTGGAGCTGCAACTTGAAAAAAGTTGTTCATAAAGATTTGGTAATAATTGAAAAAGCTCAAAAAGCATTGCATATCTCTTATTGTTCTTTGGATCTTTCAATCTATGATAGTTTGGACCCTCTTTAGATCCATCATAAAGCCTTCATTGGAAATGATGTATCCCAAAAAAATCAACTTGAGTTGTATGGAATACACACTTTTCTATTTTTGTGTATAAGCCTACAACTCTATATTTTTGTATCACAAGACAAATATGAATATCCGTCATAGAGATACATTTATTCTACTAGTTACTTATATAATTAAGTAGAAGTAGGTGAATATAGATTAATTTCATAAAGTCTATTAGAAAAGCTTCCTATTAGAGAAGCTTTATAGATGCGATTTTAACTTTGGATGTATTTGTAGGATAGAAACTTGGCCAACAAGTTAACGACGTGTTGGTAGCTTGTATAATAAGTTGACTCCATATAATAGCTTGTGGAACAAGCTAACTATGTGGCACATACATAGATAACTTGCCTTATAAGTTAAGACATGTGGCTAACAAATCAACACATATTAGAGGTCGAATAGAATGTCGTCACGTAGCTCATAGTTAGAAAGTATATATGGAAGCAAGAGTGAAGCCTTTTTTTACTCTTATCAATGCCTTTATAGTCTTTAGTCTTATTCTAAGACTTTTTAGTCTTTTTGTTTTTGGCAATTGCCATTCTAATTCAATATTATATCATTTTTGAGTGACTTTCTAGTTCTTTTCAATGATACAAGAGTGTCTTGAGGATTTTCTTTCGTCAAGATTCATATCCTTGATTCTACCTTAAGCTCAACAATTAGATTCATATTTATTGCCTCTATAATATGAAGTAAAGCCATATTTTTGCTACTCAATGTGCTTTGGATGGAAACTTTCACAAATTAAATCTTGTTACAAAGCCTCACAAACCAATTTTCATTGTGTCATTTACTTGAATGACAATATTTATCTTTGGTAGATCATTTTATAATTTTTATGTCTTAATGGGTAAATTTACTCTTAAAAATGATTCATGTTTTTTGATAGCTTCTATGTTACTTGTTCTATGTAAGAGCATGGTTAATTTTTGAGGTATTTATTCTCTAAAATGTCTCCCTTGTTTTCATAACAAATTCTCAACCTAATCTTTGGTGTTGGCAAATGTAGGCAGGTAGATAATCTGCTTATTTACTTTGGTATACAATTTAGATGAAATTTTTATATGTGCTTTGTTTAAAGACACTCTTGCCAAAATAAATAAATAAAAAAAAAATCTTTACAATAATACAATTCTGACTTTGAGTGCCATGTATGAAGGACATATGTTTTTAGTCATATGGGGATGATTTTTGATGATTGTACCAAAATATATATATATATATATATATATAGACATCTTTTCAAGCAATGTAAGAGCCATCCATGCTAACATGAGTGTGTATGTATGTATATATATATATATATATATATATATATTATATTTTATAACTTACAAAATTTACAAAAAATATGCAATACTAAGGTTTAAAGGACATCCATAGACCTGGTTTAAATTTATTGGCTTTATAATTTAATTTAGAACCTTTAAAAATAAATATTATTCGATGACACCACGGAGTCGCCAACGAATGACGAAAATCATTCACTCAACGTTTATCCGTGTTCTAGATTCGTGGAGAAGTTTGAGTCGGTGGAGAGAAAATGAAACAAAATTACCTTCTTTGGAGTTTCCGTTCGCCTTTACGACGAAATGGACGGATCGTCGGGGGTTCGTTCTCGGGGGTTTGTCGTTTATATCTTAAGTAGCATGAATTTTCAGCCTTCCGCAAGCGGCCGTTGTCGTGCCAGGCAGGGCTGCTTGCGACTCTGTTTCTAGCTGTTTTCCTGCATTCTCATACCTCGCATTCCTTCACTTATCTTCTTTCCTGCATTCTCATACCTCGCATTCCTTCACTTATCTTCTTTCCTGCATTCTCATACCTCGCATTCCTTCACTTATCTTCTTTCCTGCATTCTCATACCTCGCATTCCTTCACTTATCTTCTCAGAGCGCCGGTTTGGCTGTGGGAACGGAAGCCGGCAGCTGCGGGGTCACGGGGTCTCTGCATCCATTCCGAACTTGAGGTGGGGGCAGAATTAGGGTTTTAGTACGTCTTCATTTTAGTTACAATTTTGAAGTACTCTCGTCGTAGATTGGCGGGGTGGAGAAGAAGATTTTTATTGATTTGCCGGACCTGGCAGTTTGTGCATTCTATTCCCGGGTTGTGGGAATGGTGGTGGAGTAGGAAGTGATGTTGTGGTTGTGATTTTCGGTTTTACGTGTGCATAGTTGTTTTTTTAATGTATTTACTTGTTTATAAATATATTTCCTGAATTAGGGTTTAGGATGTTAACGATTTGTTGTACAGTGCCAGGGTTGTTTGAAGGCTCGAGGCTTTTGTGATGGGGTTGGGTTGAGAGAGAGATAGAGAGAGAGAGTGTGTGTGTGTGTGTGAGAGTGAGAGAGATAGAAACTTGAACGTGGAGTGTGAACGATTGTTTATTGTGGATGATAATAAATTTGCAAGTAGTGGATTGAATTGACCTTGTTTCTACCGTAGATGAACTTTCGGAAGACTGCTGCGGTTTGATGCAAATCAATCTGTGGTTCTGTTTGCGACATTGTTCGATAGTTTGAACAGGCACAGTTAAGCTGCAGTATTTCATCAGACATGTTTTTGGCCACCAGAAGCACATCAATTCCCTTAAGGGAGGTTTAAGCAGCAGGATGCGTTGAGGAGGTCATGTACAAAGAACGGAGTGCTGTTTTGGTAAGAGAGGAAAGAGGATATCGAGACAATATGAAGCGATTAGACGATGGAATTGAGAAATCCTCCGCTTCGACCTCGAAAGGATGGATTGGTAAGGAGAAGGACCGATTAGCTCCTGCCGCGGCTGCGACGCAAATCCGTCGGTACGCTGGACAGGAGGCCAGGCCTACTCTTGATAAAATGAAGTATCCTGATGACGGTAATTCACTGTTGCATGACAATTTATGAGATCAAATCAGTGCCGTTGGTTACAATGCCGTTTTGCTTTCATTACCTGTGTGCTGATCTTAAGTGATTCTGTTCTCTCTCTGTCTGTCTCAGAGATGGGTTTTTGGTTAGATTTCCTCATGTATGTCTCCGAGCTGGACCTGCATTAGTCCTATTCATAATACACGCTATTCGGAAACATGTGATCTGTGTTGCATTCTGTCGGAATTGATCCTGGAATGGGAGTGAATGGAATGCGACCTTACAACTGCATATGAGTTCTTTCCACTGGCATTTGTTCACGCTTGGGGGTCTGATGTCAGTTATACTGTCAATGACTATCAGTTTGTTTTTTGTACGAGAAGGCTGCGTAATTTGGATTTATCTAATTACCACTTCTTTAAGGCATTGTGTGGGACCTTGTTTGTATGTGGTTATCCCTGTTTCTAGTTCGCCCACTCAAAGAGTATTGGCTGGAATACACTGCCTCTTCGGTTGCAGGTTTTTAGGTTCATTGAGAATATTCGTTTCGGTGCCTTTGTTAATTGAAGGAGGCGGGAAGAGTTCTGTTTTTTTCTTTTTCTTTTTTCTTTTGCTAGCAATACCCGTAATTCTTCACGAAGTTATTTCTCGGTAAAGCTTCCTTGTGTTCATCTCTTGATACAGGTTTATTTTGTTTTGTCATATCTTAATCTATTTTCTTTATTCTCATTCTGAGTTGAATTGTTAATGTAGTGGTTGCGGAGGATTTGGAATCGGAAAGCGAGGAGTCAGATGTGAGTGGATCTGATGGGGAAGACACTGCTTGGATCTCCTGGTTCTGCGGGTTGAGAGGCAATGAATTTTTTTGCGAGATTGATGATGAGTATATACAGGACGACTTTAATCTCAGTGGTTTAAGAAGCCAAGTTCCTTATTATGATTACGCGCTTGACCTGATCTTGGATGTAGAACCCCCAAGTGGTAAGTTACACACTCTACTACTGTTATGGTTTTGGTAAGTGTTACGTATGGTGATCTGAATATTTTTGTGAACTACTTTCGAACATGCAAGAGAGATTAGATTGGTTTTTGATAGTGAACATATTGTTCTAGCGCATGTTCGTCCTTTGCGAGCTTTACGCATCATGAGTGTACGTGTTACCGTATTTCAGAGCAGTTCACTTTGTTTATGTGCCTCTTTTAATTGGGCCTTTTGGGAACAAATATGTTCAATTCTATTGCTCTTGATTGTAAGCTTTTTGCGGTGCCCTGCGGCCATGCTTGGTTTCAGGTTGTCGCACCGGTTTATATGCACTGTTTATAGTCCTTAGTTGCGTAGAGGGTTGTGTAGTTCTTTGCTGGTGTTGTATGATGAGGTACAGCAGCTGTCGTTTTTTGTATTTTCTGGAATGTGATACATCTTCTATGACCAAGAAGTCTGTCCAGTAGAAGCTCTCCTTCTGTTACGAGTGAGAAATGGTTGTTTCCTCGTATTAGAAATTAACACTTCTTTATGTTCAATGTATGCAATTACAGATGACATTCTAACTGAGGAGCAGAACGAATTGGTAGAGTCCGCTGCCGAGATGTTATACGGGTTGATCCACGTTCGTTACATCTTAACTAGCAAAGGGATGAATGCAATGGTATGTGAGCTGCCTCCGATTGGTTTAACATCCATATTTGGAATAAAACTTTTTTACTGTTTTCATTTTTCTTTGTATTTTTTTGTTTCCTTTGCTTATGTTTCAATCCATATCATATCTTTCTTATTCTGTGGTGTTGAGCAGTTGGAAAAATGTAAGAATGTGGACTTTGGTCGCTGCCCTCGCGTCCATTGCTCGGGACAGCCATGCTTGCCCATGGGTCAGTCAGATGTTCCCCGAACAATCCTTGTGAAAATCTATTGTCCAAAGTGTGAAGATATATATTACCCTCGATCAAAATACCAAGGCAGTATCCTTCCAATTTATTTATTTTGTTACTGTTTTACATGCATGGTGATCAGAAATACGGTATGAAATTCTAAGTGCAATACTCTCAAAAAATCTCTAGTTTTTCCTAGGAGGTAGGTTATCTGGTGTGATAGAGAGCACAGTTAACACTGCCTACTCTGTGTGTGTTGGTTACCGTCATTGTATTTTTTATTTTTATTTTTATTTTTTTTATGTGTCTTTGTTGCATTGGTTACCTTAATCTCAAGCAGACATTGATGGTGCTTATTTTGGCACAACTTTTCCTCATCTTTTCCTAATGACATATCCCCACATCAAGCCTTCAAAACCGACTCAGACCTACACACCAAAGGTATTTGGTTTCAAACTGCATAAAAGTGCAAGATAGACATCTGCTCTTTTTAAGAGCAACATATGTCCCTCAAACTTCATTGCTTCCTCGTGGAGGAATTGGCCTCTGCACCGCGCCGCAATCCGGAGAAATTTGATTTTCTACTTGGAGGATGTGGCGTAGATCTCCTGTGATTAACAGGCTGCTGTCGACTGCTTGCATCTAGACATCCAGTCTGGATGTTTCCATAGCTGGGACCGTTCAACTGATTTTGCGTAGACGACTGTTTCACCTCCGTCTGGTCTTCGATTGTTCTGAATCTGAGGAGAAGCATCTCTGGCGCATCGCATAAACGATTTTTAGTTGACATTAGGTCGCGTCGTTGAATTGACTGATAGATGGAACCTTCAATTTGTTGTTAATATACTATTGAAATCCAATATCGTTCTATGAAGTGATGCTCCTGAATTTGTGGGTGGAGCATTTTACCAAGCCCTTTCGACATTTATCAAGCAATGGTTAGTGTCATATCTATGCAAATCACAAGAGGTTAATCTTTATCCTACTGAATATCATTGATTTGTTTCACTGTCATCTGTGCACTCAATTATATTTTCATGCTTGGTTTGTGCATTGAAATAAATTTTAGCTAATGAAAGTAACTATAATGAAAATAAGTGTAATCAAAACTTTCCGAATTGTAGGTGAAAGATACTTATCACGTTGTTGCTACATGGAAGAATATTTTACAGCACTTCAGAATTGAGTGGAAATCTGCTTAACGTGAAGAAGAGTTGAAGATGTGACTGATTGAAATTTGTGAATAGGTGTAAGGTAGCAGACACATTTTCGACCTATAAGGTGGGGTATTTCTGCAAGTCCGGCATCTTATTTTTGACCAGTTCTGACACCTTTCTGGTTGGAAATAGGTCCAGTGTTAAGCTTACAGCGTTTTCTAATCACTCAAAAGTGTCACAAGATGGAGTGTGTGTGTTCTGATTTAGGTGGCAGTTGTCGAATGGTTGGGGTGGAATTCAAGTTCAGTATGAGTTGGTTATATTCCAGTTACCTCATCCACACACTAACATTCTCAAGTAGCATGGAATTAGGTGAAACTTGATAGCATTATAGGTGCCACACTTTTTGATTATGAAAAAAGAAGATTCTCAATTTTTAACAATGAAAAAAAAGATTCTCAATTTTTTGTTATGAGAAAAGAAGGTTCTCAAATTTTGATTATGAAAAAAGAAGATTCTCATTTTTTGATTATGAAAAAAGAAGGTTCTCAAATTTTGATGATGAAAAAAGAAGGTTCTCAAATTTTGATGATGAAAAAAGAAGATTCTCAATTTTTGATGATGAAAAAAGAAGACTCTCAATTTTGTAACCCACCATTGATCATAATTAGGTGCCACATTTTTTGATTATGAAAAAAGAAGATTCTCAATTTTGTAATACACAAAATCAGATCAAGATCAGAATTAAGTTGACCTGTATATCAGGTTTGGGTGAAAGGCAATCTTCAACTACAACATTTATATTAATTTCATTTTTTGAGCAGAATTGTGTGAAAACACTTGGAATCCTCCTGATTTCTATTTTCCTACATGAAAATGGGTCGGCTACCTTACTGGGTTCAATTGACAACAAAGAATCCACTTCGATCCTTTCTATTCTAAACATCCGATTGTACATTCGGTCCTCATTACTAACTATGACCTTGCCCGTGATCCTCAAGCTCATTCAACCTACGACGCACAATTTCCTAAACCAATAATTCACAAGACCATGCATTCAGTTCTAAGTCAAATTTACCGAGTCATCCCTGTCTCAAAAATCTTTCATTTGACCAGGGAGGGAATAAAACCGTTAAGGAGCTTAGCGTTAGAATATGCAGTGTAGCATTCCTTACTTAAAAATGTTTTATGGCTGGAGACCAGTTCATGATTGAGCACCAAAAGATTCAGTTGTGCTCAGAATTCAGTTACGAATTCATGACTGAATCTTTGAGCACATAGAATTCATAACTGGAGATCCATGATTGTATGTGCAGGTGCAGAGTGATGAATAGAAAGCGAAACCCACAGTTAGATCAGCTATCCTTAGCTTTCGGTGCACTTGAGAGATATCCAATCGGTAGGACTTGAGCAAGTGCCCAATCCGGCATGCTGAAGATGCCGAAAATTGAGGGATGGGGTGAATACGGCGATAGACACGCATTGATTTCTCGTGTCCAAGGTTGGACCCAATAGTTTGTTTGGTTTCTAAAGTTTGCTACTAAGTTTTTCTAAGAGTTTGTCCGGATCTTCCTCTGCCCTTTCTTCGCCTTGAGAGTACACGGCGTGCTGCTTTCGTTGCTATTTAAAATGAATTCTCTTGCGTTAATCGGGGAAATATTCTTACTTGAATCCTTTAGTTTTGGGCTACACCGGAAGATCCAGTTTGTTCTCGTCAGGTTGTTGCTGAGATCCGAAGCTGGGTAAATCGTGGTGGAGACCTTCTGTGTTTTGAGGCTTTTGGTTCGCTGGGTAGTTGACACTTTGAGCGTCTTGCGGAAGAAGCTGTGTTTTACAGCATGTGTGCGTGTGAGTCTGGAATCTGATGATAAGGCTTCTGAAGGCGATAGTTAATTTTGGCAATTCATCCTTTCTGAAGAATTGCGTTTCTTGTTCTGAGAATCAAATTAGAATGAAGTGTCTGCAAGTGCTAGAGGACGTGGGTTTGTTGTGAGATGAAGAAAAGTTGTGGGTTAACAAGCGCTTGGAGTTCTCCTCATAGGGTTACGTGTAGGTAAGATCATCTTGAGCTGAGTTTCAGTTGACGGGGTTTTAGTATACTTCTCACTATTCTTGCTTCTGAACCATTCCCATTTGGCAAAGTAATCAAAAGTCGATTAGCGGTTTTATAGCTTTTTCTTGCGGATAGCACATTGCTGCATTTTGCCTGTTCATATTCTACTTCGTCCTTCAGTTCGAATCCTACAAAGACAAGCCACTGAGACATGAAAATGTTTATTAACCCGCTCGCACAGGATCCTGTTACAATCTTGTGTCTGCTCGCTCTCCTATTTCCATGACCTTTCCTCTATCCTCTACCAGGTATTTTTGAGTTTGAATCGTCTCTGCATTACAGTATCCCTGTTTTAGGGGTCCTGATGCTGACCACTTGCAACAATCCCTTCGAGCATTCAAGGTCCACGGTTCTAGTGAGAAGACTTGTTTCTTCCACGCGATTCTTTTCAAACGGTGCAGATATCAGTGTTGAGATTAGGGATGGACACTGGTATTTCTCTAGTCTAGGTTTCTTCCTGTAGCGACCCCTACAAGGCTGGGACCTATTAATCGAATCCATGTACGCTTGCGTGTTTAGTACTTGCGTAAGAACTATTGATTGTCTCTTTGAGGAACCTATTCGACTGTGAGAAGTTTATCTTATTTCCAATCGATCACTTGCCCAGTACTTGCCTTCTTGGCATACTTGATTAATGGCTTCCTTAATGATGCTTGGATATTCGTCTTGGCTGGCACGATCTTCTCGTAGAGTACTAGCTCGGTGACACTGGGAGAGTACTCAGTAGTCGGGGGAGGGGTTTCAACATATTATCGTCATGGATAAGACTGTGTAAAACAGAAGACTGGTATCAGGACACGGACTTGCTGTTAAGTGCCGTTAGCTGGACTACCGTTGTCGATATTTGACCCCTTCTTCTGAAAGTAGAAGTAACTTGAAAACTCGACATTTAATTATTTTTATCATACACCTTTATTATGAGTCATTGTCAATATTAATAATTAGATTGTAGAGACAAGCTAAGATTGGGACAATAGCGATTCTGAAATCACCCAGTGTCTTATTTCTTTACTTACTTACTTACTTACTTAGTTCTTTGGTAACTTGCACGTTTGTGGAGATTTGAAGCAGTATAAAGGTGGCCACTGATTCTGAAAAATCATTTGAAAGACTGTGTGAGCTATCTCAATTTCTGCTTACGTGTCAATTTTCATGTTTCAGAAGGTCGTTTTGAACAGGCTCCAACATTCATGGTGCTACCAATCAGTCCTCGTGATAGATAGATTTCATATAGAGCTCTAGGGTGTAAATTAATCTGCTGAGCACGGAATTGAATGGGGGTTTAAGATGATCGTGAAGGTTAGCAACAAGCCCTTTTTTTGGGCTTTAATTGCCCTCTCTATAGGAATTATTATTGCTCTTCCAATGCTCATCTCCCCCCATTCTACTATGTACTATCTGAACCGAATCAGCAACACTGGGGATGCTAACGGCACCGCCCTCAGCTGGTTCTCATGGTCATCGTTAAGCCAAACTTATGATTCTACGACGAACTGCTACTCACCTCTCAAGGTGTACATGTACGAGCTTCCACGCAAGTACAACTTAGGTTTATTGCAGAGGGATAACCCGGATCAAGAGCTTCCCTGGACAAGCGATGTCATACCTCCCTGGAAAATGGAATTCGAAGTCAACAATCAACACAGTGTAGAGTACTGGTTAATGGTTTATTTGTTGAGTGGTCGGGACCGTAAGAAAGGAAATATGGCCGCTGTGAGAGTAAAAGATCCAGAGCAAGCAGAAGTGTTTTTTGTGCCCTTCTTCGCATCCCTGTCATTTAATTCCTTTGGTCGTAACATGGCTGCACCAAATGCAGCGAAGGACAGAGAACTTCAAGTAAGACTCCACTGCTTATGTAATCAAGAATCAAATACGCTGGTGCTTATTATTGTCTTTATGTGTTGTGAAGTTATTGGATGAGTTCATTGCTTGGAGAATTGGAATCCTTTTCAACGTTTGATCTCATAAGCTTTTTTTCATTTATTCATGGACTTTAACTGTGCTTTAGTGTGGTAATTGCTTTATGCAGAGAACCCATCAGAATTCGGAAACCATGTTGATAACTTCAGCTGCTCTGTGCAGGAAGGTGTGGTGGAGATGCTATCTAACTCTAAATGGTGGCAGAAATCACAAGGCCGTGATCATATCATTGTTATCCACCATCCCAATGCTTTTAGGTGAGCCAGTAGCCTTCCTTTGCTAGTAAGACCCAACCTAATCTGCTCCCCCTCTTTTTTTTCAGATCAAATACTCAGTTTTAAGGTTATTTAGAAAAAAGAAAAACAAAAACTAAAGGTTAGATCTCCATTTCATAAAGATTTCTGCTCGGTTAACCTTGTCTTGTGGGAATTTTGGACTAACTTACTGATGGGAAAATTTTGATGTTGATGTCGTACAGGTACTACAGAGACATGATGAACCAATCAATGTTTATAGTTGCCGATTTTGGTAGATACAACCAAACAGTAGCTCGGTTGAAGAAGGATATTGTAGCCCCTTATGCACATGTTGTGCCTTCATATAATGAAGACAACCCTTCCGACCCCTTTTCAGCACGCAAAACTCTTTTATTCTTTCAAGGACGGGTCCGCCGCAAAGCTGTGAGTCTTGTTATTGCGCAGTATCGTAAATATTTTACCTCGAAACATCAGTTGTACTCTCTCTCTCTCTCTCTCTATATATATATATATATATATATATATCTCTTTTTATTAAGTCGGAAGTTCATTGCGAGGATTCATGTATCAGTTTAAACTTGTATTCTTAACTACGAGTTATTTATTAGTTGTTGGTGATGAGGTTGCTTTTGACTAATTTGCCAGGATGGAGTTATTAGGGCTAAGCTTGGGAAGTTGCTGATGAACCAAACCGATGTTTACTACGAAGACAGCCTTGCCCGTACAGAGGCCATTGCTATGGTATTGCATTTGTATTGCAACATTTGCTGCAATGTGGTGCTTGTATGCCAAAAAGAAAAAAGAAGGAAAAAAAACACTACATAAAACAAAAGCACTAAGATGATTTAACTTTGATTATCGTACCTGGGAGTTTCCATTTTGACGTTAAAACAACTAAACTGCATTTACTGTTCTCTCTGATTTCTAAGTTTTGCTAATCACATGATATGTCTTCGTTTCAGTCGACTCAAGGTATGCGATTTTCACGCTTCTGCCTTCACCCAGCTGGAGACACACCCTCAAGTTGCCGGCTCTTTGATGCTATTGTTAGCCATTGTGTGCCCGTTATAGTTAGTGACAGAATTGAGCTTCCCTTTGAGGATGACCTCGACTACAGTGAGTTTTCTATATTTTTCTCAGCTAAAGAGGCTATCATACCAGGCCACTTGCTGGGCACGCTGAGGTCCATTACAAGAGAAAGATGGTTGCAAATGTGGAACAAACTGAAGGCTATTTCCCACCACTTCGAGTACCAGAACCCATCGAAGGAGGATGATGCTGTAAATCTCATCTTTAAGCAGGTGCAACGGAAATTGCCGGGGGTCAGCCTTGATATCCACCGGTCTAAAAGGCTCAGAATTCCTGACTGGTGGAGAAGGCGAAGATGATTAGAGCTCAGCGAAAAACTGTTTATAATGTTCGGTGGAATGTAGTGAACTCACATTCAAATTGACAAGTATTATTCTTTTAAAGCCAACAGGCTATAATCCAATGCTTGAAAGTGGTTGGCTGTGGGTTGCTATTACCAGCAATGTTTACGACTGCTTGCATGATGAGGGAATCCTGAAATGGGAACAAGTATGATACCGCGTGTCTGGACGGTTGTCTATTCCATATTTGTACCCATGTATGCACATCATCACATTAGTCTATAAATGTAGTGCTCGGCAATAGCTTTCCCATCCACTCTCGTATGCGGTGAAGCATACGGGTGTAATTATGGGCTCCGTCGACTGTTTACACGAGAAATGACAATAATTCTCGCTTATTAATAATCCACCAGAGTTAATGACGGCGTTGATTTTCCTTGCAATCCCATTCCCTTTTTGCTGCTTTGCCAACAACCTCATTAGCTGCCTTTCTTCGAACATTCTGACGATGTTCCGTCTCACTCGATATGATTGAGCGTAGATATCCTCGATCACTCAAGTTTTCACTCCTTTTTTGAAGGATTTTAGCCAATTTCTCAAATGTTGAATCTTTTGAGGGACTTAACTATTCTGCAAAACAATTATGACGAAAAGCTAGTGTTACTACTGAAATGAGAAGAAAAACAGATGATGTTCAACACGAGAAGGAAAACCCCATGTAAAATTGTTTTCGAGAATATTGAGTCAATCAGCAGGATATCAGTAATGTATTTCACACGCACTCTCCAAATTAGAGATTGGAAAAGTTAATTAAATTGGTGTCCAAGGTACAATGGGAGAATTCATGATATTGAAAATATTGTAGTTTCGAATAACCCAGAAATTTACTCATGGTTCAATGAATTAGACCATGCTACGAGATCTACACTAAAGCTCAACAGAATTCGAACTTAGCATCCTATTACTGATTTCATTCTAGCCTCTGCAAGTATCCTTTTTCAGTCTCACCTGAAAGACATCATCAGTTCTAAATCTTTCAATTATCTGACCGTAGTAATATCAAGGAGGGGTATATCCTAATCTGAGGCCATCGAATGCTTCAGCTGCATTCAGACAAGAGTTAGAACCACAAGAACTAGTGAGTTGTTTGTAATGCAGAACTGATGATCATCATCTGGAAGCAAAATTTCATGAGCAATAATGACATTGATAGGGGATTATCATCAGCGTTTACATTGCAGAGTAATTCGACACAGAGTAAATCACCGCCTGCCTTTCTGAAACATGCAACAGTTTCAGCACCACCAGCTCATCGATTGTCAGCTGAAATGGGAAAGCCAGAACCGTATCATACAACACAAACGTACCCATCCTAACCTACTGTTTGTCCTCAACTGCTTATGCATCCAGTCGCTTGAAATGCTGCTACAATGTATAATTTGAAGGGGTTTGATCATGCGACGTAATGACCTTTACCCCAACTTTCAAACTACCACGGGAATCGTCTTACAAGCATGAGCGAAGAATCTGCCTAACGTCACGGAATGTTGAGGCATTTCTGGCTTAATAGAACTTCAAGGCCCACGCTGCACGTACTTGCTCATCAAGATCTGGCCAGGCATCACAGAGTGTTCTGAACCCAAGTTGAGAGTGTTTATCGACTGTATCTGCAATTTATTGCACCGGCTCACCTATAAGTAATTCAGAATAGGCTGCTGCTCGGTAAGTTTCGAACAGATAGACATGGAAGTTCATGACAGAATTGGCATTGGGTCATGGCAAATGAAGCTCGAAGAAACATTAAACTCCGATGAGGTACTAGACAAGATACCAAGCTAGGTGACAATCGATACAGAAGAACATTTCTAACACTGACGTCAAAAGTTAAAACAAGTGGGCTCCCGATACAGGATCAATTATAGAACAAAATCTGCACGTTGCTGCAAATTGCTGAGAGTAGCACTCCAAGATTAGTACACGTGGGACTTGGAAGCTCCCAATTAAGGCTGTGAAAAGCAGTGCTGACTTTTACGATTGTGAGGTGAAATAATATTTTCACATTTCAAATATTTGATCTTTTTTGTGGCAAATTGCATAAGTTATTTGATGTACATTTAAAATATATAGATATGATGTATATGTTTGATTTTTTTTTTTTTTTTTTTTTTTTTTGTAGCCAATGGCACATAGTTTCTATTAGTAATAAATATGATTTTTGGATGGTCATAGTGTGAAGGTCCAAAAGACAAGTCCATATAGCATGGCTTGTATCATTATCAAAGATCCAATCTATTTTATATTACTTTAATTATTTTATTTTACTTTCCTAATCTATGTAAAGTATGTCATTATAGACATTATGGCATTGCAAAACAATTGTCATTTTTGAGCATAAGGTACAAATAATGATGATAGCTATTTTTTTAATGTGGAAGGCCATAAGATATATTTATAAAAAAGATAGTAGCAGTTTGGAGGTATAGAGGTTTTTTTAAGTACACTCTTTTGAGATCATATTAAACGGATGATTTTTAGAGGCAATTGAAGATGAATATATCTACATTCAAGTATTTGTGTACTATTTTAGAGTCCATCTTTAAAAAATAAGATAGTCACTTTAAGTCAAATATGGTAGAGTGTGGAGTTGTTGTAATTCTCTATTATTTAGATAGTGGTAATAATTTTAATGATGGTTGGAGATTCATTTGGTTGATCACTTATTACAATTTTAGATTTTGTAAATAAATAAATGTTGTAAAGTAATCAAGAATTATTTGTAACTATTTATTTTGAAAAAGTTTATTTTAATTCGGATTGAATAAATTGCCAAGGATTTGGAATTTTTTTCAAAATTCTATATATGTTCGACCTCATAGATGGTAGTCAAATTTCTATATTAGCATCCTCTAATGATTATATTTCATATTATTGCTACTAGGGATTTTATTCTTATTTACACTAAGAAGTTGTTAATGCAAAATGAAAATTTGGAAATAATTTTAAATAGTGTTGTCAAATTCATAATTAAGTATTATTTCAAAAAAAATAAATAATTTTATTTTATTTTAATGGTGATGTTGCTTATCCTATGATGCTATGGTTTTATTCATCGTTTAAAAGAAAGATGAATTGTTTAGAAAAAGAAGTCCACTGGAACTTCATTCAATCAAGCACTCAAATAGCACTAACAAAGGCTGTTGGAATTTTGAAACAAAAATGTTAAATTGTATTGAAAAGAATTGAAATGTCTCTTTAAAGTATCTTTAATATCATCACTGCATGATCATGTCTACATAACTTGTATATCTTAGAGAATAATCAATTTGACTTTAAATGTACAAAAATTGCTTGAGTAGAATTATAAGGTAGGTAAATAAGAAATTATGGAAATTGCAAGCAATTGACATGTTTTGTGTACTAAAATAATTATTGAATAAAATAAGATAATTGCATATATAATAAATAAATAAATAATCTTAAAACTTAAAAAATACTATTTATTGAACTCGAAAATAAAAATAAAGTTGAAAATAAAAAAAAATTACAAACATCTAGAAATAAAAGATAAGCAAGAAGAGAAGATAAAGAATATGTTGGCTAATGCAACAAAAAATTTTGAAGTTGTTGTTAGGAGCTTCTTTAAAGAATATATGGCTTAAAAATCAACCATTCAATTTAAAGATTTAATTTAAATACACATTCAAAATAATATTTTAGCATTACAAATTATTGATTAGATAAGCAAATTCCTAATCTATCTTATTTAGTAGTGCATTTGTCTATTGAATTCTTTTTATTAAATCAATACTAGTTTTACCATTTTTTCAAAAATGTTAATTTTTTTATTATAAAAGTTGTGTTTACCTTTTGATTTCATTGAAGTTGATGGTGTACTAGCCATAGTTGTTGATCATAGTGAACTATCCACCTCTAATTGAAAAAATTGATATTCATTTTTTCACTACTATTTGATATAGTTAAAACATGCTTCATGACTTAATTATTTTGATGCCACTATTTGTCTATAGCCTCATAGAACTTTTTTTTTTTAATAATTATTACTAAAAAATCTATTATCAATTTTATCTTTTTTATAGACTTTGAAAATCTTTCAAAATTTCTTATGACATACCTTGTTTGTCTAATTGAATTTTAAATGCATAATAACTAGTTGCGCATTGAGTTTCATCCATATATCAATTTTTCTATTTATAAAAAATTTAATTGATATAAAAAGACTTCAAAATCCATGTTAAGAAAGATTATAATATCCATGTTGAAGGTTGAAAATAATTATATTTAATAGAAATATATACTTATATAGAGGTTGATTATTAAATGGAGTAAGAAAAGAAGTAATTATATTTGGAGAATAATTTCTTCTATCATAATTTTTAAAAATGAGGTTCAAAGATGTATATCAATGCATTTTTATCTAACTTAGGAAAATGAAGGGCATCTAAAGGATCTAGGTGTTGAAAGCCATTAAGTTCCAATCAAATTAAATTTGTGATTTGAAATTATTTAAAAACAATTGCAACATATATGATTTAAAATAATCTTGTTTTTTTTTTTTTTTTTTTTTTTTTTTTTTTTTTTTTTTTTTTTTTGATAAATTTAGGTTCTATCTTTCTTCAAAGCATAATCTATTATTATATTATAGAATTAATCTTATCATAGATGATGTCATCTTCTTTATCTTTGATATTCACCACCACTTGGATTTTTTTTCTTTTCAACTTTAGTTGTTGTGGACATGATTTTTTTATAGATTTAAAATAAATTGAATATTCTTATCCTTATCAATATTCCTCTTTCTACCATCTTATTCATCTTCACTCTTATTTGGCAATCGTAAGATTTAATTGAAACGGGCTATATTATATCATATAAATTGGATCTATAAAAAAAAATCTATACTCATAAGCTACTTTGATTGGTTAGAAAAATAAAAACTTAAAAAAAAAAAAAACCATCTATCTTTCCTAATTTCAAAAAAAGAATAGACCAAACAAATAATCAAATAAGTCTAAAAATTGAGCACATATGTATGAAGGAGAGAGAAAGCAAGTAACTGAGAGAGAAGTCTTACTCCATTTTTAGGTCAAAATGGTCTT